CAAACTCACTGTACTTCATCCCCTTCTCCCTTGGTGATTCATTATGTGATCTTGGCAGCACAGCACCAGCATGAACATCTAAAAGACTGCATATTCCTCTACATCTCATGCAGAACATAAAAATAATCAGAAACCTAGGCATGCTAACAGAAACATGTGCTGCTAATAAATACGTGAAACAACCTTCTCATTCAGTTCTAACGGCATCACCAGAACCAACCGCTTTCCTGAACACATACGATTGCTCAAAGTACCCATGCCTGCAACATCACAATAAACGAGCAGGAAAGAAAAGGAAGGAAAAATAAGTGTATAAAACATCGTGCATCCCCTTAGTTTCGAAGTCGTTTTGCCTGAGATAGTGAATCGTGCATCCCCTCAGCTCACCGGTAACAGTCTGTCACTCACCCATTTGTGCCGGCGAGTAGGCAACTCACCCGCTCTTCTCTGCAAACGCGATATTCCATCCACGAATCACCCACTCTTGCCAGCAAACACGGGAGCGTAGCTGTACCGAAGCATGTCGTTCATCCCCTCTCTCTCAACTCGCGGGTGATAGCATGCCACTTAACCCTTCGCGCTGGCAAGACAAGTCCGTGATTCTCACCGCAGACAGCTCACCCATTCTTGCTGGCAAATACGGGAGCCTGGTTGTAGAGAACCATGTCGTTCATGCCCTCCCTCATTTCACAGGTAACAGCACGCAACCCACCAACTCTTGCCAACAAAGTAAGCAGCTCACCCATTCTTGCCGGCAAACACGGGAGAGTGGTTGTACAGAAGCATGTCGTTCATGCTCTCATCCGAGGCTGGAGAGTGGGTGTTGCGCCGAGCCTCACTGCCATGGGGAGGAATGGGGAAGAGTGGGGAGGTGTGGGGAGGAGTGGGGAGGAGGGAGTAACAGGAGATCCGTTGTACAGAAGCAAGTCGTTCATGCTCTCGTCCGAGGCTGGATGGTGGGAGTTGCGACGCGCCTCACTGCCATAGGGAGGTACGTGGAGGAATGGGGAGGAATGGGGAGGAGTGGGTGAGGAGTGGGGAGGAGTGGGTGAGGAATGGGGAGGAGTGGGTGAGGAGTGGGGAGGAGTGGGTGAGGAGTGGGGAGGGTGAGGAGTGGGGAGGAGTGGGTGAGGAGTGGGTGAGGAGTGGGGAGGGAGTGGGTGAGGAGTGGGGAGGAGTGGGGAGGAGTGGGGGGAACAGGAGATTTGTTGTAGAGAATGTCGTTCATTGCTCTCATTCGAGGCAGGATGGTGGGTGTTGCGACGCGCCTCACTGCCATGGGGAGGATTGGGGAGGAGTGGGGAGAAATGGGAGGAACAGGAGAGCATTTTCAGAGAAGCAAGTCGTTCATGCTCTCGTCCGAGGCTGGATGGTGGGAGTTGCGACGCGCCTCACTGCCATAGGGAGGTACGTGGAGGAATGGGGAGGAATGGGGAGGAGTGGGTGAGGAGTGGGGAGGAGTGGGTGAGGAATGGGGAGGAGTGGGTGAGGAGTGGGGAGGAGTGGGTGAGGAGTGGGGAGGAGTGGGTGAGGAGTGGGGAGGGTGAGGAGTGGGGAGGAGTGGGTGAGGAGTGGGTGAGGAGTGGGAGGAGTGGGTGAGGAGTGGGGAGGAGTGGGGGAGGAGTGGGGGGGAACAGGAGATTTGTTGTAGAGAATGTCGTTCATGCTCTCATTCGAGGCAGGATGGTGGGTGTTGCGACGCGCCTCACTGCCATGGGGAGGATTGGGGAGGGAGTGGGGGAGAAATGGGAGGAACAGGAGAGCATTTTCAGAGAAGCAAGTCGTTCATGCTCTCGTCCGAGGCTGGAGAGTGGGTGTTGCGCCGAGCCTCACTGCATAGGGAGGTACTTGGAGGAATGGGGAGGAATGGGAGGAGTGGGGAGTGGGGAGGAGTGGGTGAGGAATGGGGAGGAGTGGGTGAGGAGTGGGGAGGAAGTGGGTGCGAGTGGGAGGAGTGGGTGAGGAGTGGGGAGGGGTAGAGGAGTGGGGAGGAGTGGGTGAGGAGTGGGTGAGGAGTGGGGAGGAGTGGTGAGGAGATGGGGAGGAGTGGGGAGGAGTGGGGGGGAACAGGAGATTTGTTGTAGAGAATGTCGTTCATGCTCTCATTCGAGGCAGGATGGTGGGTGTTGCGACGCGCCTCACTGCCATGGGGAGGATTGGGGAGGAGTGGGGAGAAATGGGAGGAACAGGAGAGCATTTTCAGAGAAGCAAGTCGTTCATGCTCTCGTCCGAGGCTGGATGGTGGGAGTTGCGACGCGCCTCACTGCCATAGGGAGGTACGTGGAGGAATGGGGAGGAATGGGGAGGAGTGGGTGAGGAGTGGGGAGGAGTGGGTGAGGAATGGGGAGGAGTGGGTGAGGAGTGGGGAGGAGTGGGTGAGGAGTGGGGAGGAGTGGGTGAGGAGTGGGGAGGGTGAGGAGTGGGGAGGAGTGGGTGAGGAGTGGGTGAGGAGTGGGGAGGAGTGGGTGAGGAGTGGGGAGGAGTGGGGAGGAGTGGGGGGGAACAGGAGATTTGTTGTAGAGAATGTCGTTCATGCTCTCATTCGAGGCAGGATGGTGGGTGTTGCGACGCGCCTCACTGCCATGGGGAGGATTGGGGAGGAGTGGGGAGAAATGGGAGGAACAGGAGAGCATTTTCAGAGAAGCAAGTCGTTCATGCTCTCGTCCGAGGCTGGAGAGTGGGTGTTGCGCCGAGCCTCACTGCCATAGGGAGGTACGTGGAGGAATGGGGAGGAATGGGGAGGAGTGGGTGAGGAGTGGGGAGGAGTGGGTGAGGAATGGGGAGGAGTGGGTGAGGAGTGGGGAGGAGTGGGTGAGGAGTGGGGAGGAGTGGGTGAGGAGTGGGGAGGGTGAGGAGTGGGGAGGAGTGGGTGAGGAGTGGGTGAGGAGTGGGGAGGAGTGGGTGAGGAGTGGGGAGGAGTGGGGAGGAGTGGGGGGGAACAGGAGATTTGTTGTAGAGAATGTCGTTCATGCTCTCATTCGAGGCAGGATGGTGGGTGTTGCGACGCGCCTCACTGCCATGGGGAGGATTGGGGAGGAGTGGGGAGAAATGGGAGGAACAGGAGAGCATTTTCAGAGAAGCAAGTCGTTCATGCTCTCGTCCGAGGCTGGAGAGTGGGTGTTGCGCCGAGCCTCACTGCCATGAGGGGAAAGGGGAGGGAAAATAAGGAGGAAGGGGCGGGGATGTGAGAGGGTGGAGATGTGAGAGGGCGGAGATGTGAGGCAGAGTGGACGGGGAATGGAAGCAAGTTGAACGTGAGTGTGACTGTAGCGCGTGTGACTGTAGCACGTGTGACTGTAGCGCATGAGTCCGTAGCTTGTGTGACTGTACCACGTGTGACTGTAGTGCGTGCAACTGTAGTGCGTGTGACTGTAGTGCGTGAGTGCAGTGCGTGTGACTGTAGTGCGTGAGTGCAGTGCGTGTGACTGTAGCGCTATTGAGACCACTTTCAACATACTTGACAAAGAAGTTGGCTACTGCCTGTCCCACGGCTATGGCGTGTGGTGTGTGGCAGAGTGATTAGTGCTAGTGACTGTAGCACTTGTGACTGTAGCACTTGTGACTGTAGTGCATCTGACTGTACAGCTAAAGAGACCAACTCACTTGACAAAGAAGTTGGCTGCTGCCTGACCCACAGCTATGGCATGTGCTCCGTGGGGTATGTGGTCCAACCCCCACTCGTATGCATTCTTCTGTTGTGTGTGAAGGAATGAGAGGGGAGGGGAGGGGAGGGAAGGAGGAATGAGAATAGAAAAAAGGGTTTAGGGTTAGCACCGCCATGGTGTGTCAGTCCTGACAAGCACACCCACTGCCACGGTGTGAGTCCCGACAAGCACACCCACCGCCATGGTGTGTGAGTCCTGACAAGCACACCCACCGCCATGGTGTGTGAGTCCTGACAAGCACACCCACTGCCACGGTGTGTGAGTCCCGACATGCACACCCACCGCCATGGTGTGTGAGTCCTGACAAGCACACCCACTGCCACGGTGTGTGCTGCATGGGGCATGTGGTCCAACCAACCCCCTCTCGTACGTGTTCTTCTGTTGTGTGAAGAGGGTTGGGTGAAGAGGTGAGAGGGGAACAGAGGATAGGGGAGGGAGGAATGAGAAGCACAGCAATGGCGTCTGCTGCATGGGGTATGTGGTCCAACCCAACCCCCACTCATATGCATTTTTCTGTTGATTTGTGCGTCGTGTGAAGCAATGAGAGGGGAAAAGGCACAAGAGAAAGAGGAGTTTGAGAAATACTGCAGGGGTATGTGATCCAGCCCCCACTCATAGGCGTTCTTCTGTTGAATGAGAGGGAGCAGAGGGGAGAGCGGAATGAGACCAGCATGAGGGACCTGACCCACAGCATTGGCGCCTGCTGCAGGGGGTATGTGATCCAGCCCCCACTCGTGCGCGTTTTTTCTGTTGAAAAGAAAGATACCATGCAAGAGAGTGTTTTGAGACGTCTCAAGATACCATTCGAGCGAGTGTTTTGAGACGTCTCAAGATACCATTCGAGCGAGGGAGGAATGAGCGAGAGGAGAGAGTTTTGAGATCTTGACGTATGGTATGCTGCGTAGGGTATGTGGTCCAAACCTGACTTGACGTTCTTTCTGCTGCTACCAGCCACGTCAGCATGTCACAAACCACGTCAGCGTGACAGAACCCACGTCAGCATGCGACAACCCACCTCTGGATGCCACTGCGTGCCATAAAAGGGATACCGCTTTCCCTGCACTGTTGTCACATACTCCTACAGTCACAGATGGGCACACGGAGAGAACAGGAACATAAGTACAGAAATTAATTTCCCTGCACTGTACCGATTTGAACTGCTGTAAAGACATGATACATACACTTCTCAACAGTGAGACGCAGATGGAATCATTCGAACCACATTGTGTTCAAAATCATCGCAATCATAAGTTCTCTGATACAGTAATTTAAAATATAGCATTTCAGTAATGAACGAGAGACAAAAACAACATTCCATGCTGTACCAGTCCATTCTTATCGAACGAGGTGGTGAGAACAAAGAAGAAATCCCTCAGCTTGCTGTTGGAGAGAAAGCGATGCACCGTGGTGCCGTCCTGAGAGGGGGGAGGGGGGTGCATTGGAGGATGAGGTGAAATGGGGAGGGGAGGAGGGAGAAAGGGTGCAAAGATCGAGGTGGTGAACAGAGCACGGAGAATATATCTCTGAGCCTGGCGTTGGAGAGGAAGCGATGCACCGTGGGGCCGTCCTGAGAGGGGGGAGGAGGAGGGAGGGAAAAGAGCAGGTTGAGGGGTCATGGGAAGGGGAGAGGCGTGTTGTGCACAAAGTAGAAATCCCTGAGCTGGCTGTTGGAGAGGAAGCAATGCACCGAGGGGCCGTCCTGAGAGGGGAGGAGGATGGAGGTGCGGAGAAGGGGGGGGGGGGAGGAGAAGGAGGTGGTGAGGACACAGGTACACATCGCGAGCATTGGCAAAGGAGAAGAAATTCTGGAGCTTACCTGAACAATGGAATGCTTCTCCACAGAGAAGGGTAGCTTCTGCACCTTTCATGACATAGAGCGAGAGGTGCGAAGAGAGGGGGGGAGGAAAGTCGGAAAACCGGAAGTTACCTGATGGTTCTCCATGGTGAGAGGGAGCTCTTGCACCTTTGCAGCCAAATCCGGAGACATCCTGAGAGCGAGAAGGGGGAAAGGGCGCGGATGGAGGGGGGCGCGGCGGGAGGGGGGAAGGGTGGAGGCACAGTGAAACGAGAGGGAACGAGGGGGGACGAGAGGAGAGGGAGCTCTTGCACCTTCCCAGCCAAATCAGGAGACAGAGTGAGGGGCGCAAGAGAGAGGGGGGAAGAGAGGGGGGAAGAGAGAGAGAGAGAGAGGGAAGAGAGGGGGCATGGTGAGACGAAGGGGGGAAATTCCATCTTACTAGTTATAAGCAGACTCAACGGGAGAAGCAGCTCCTGCAGCGCACTTAGTAACGAGTTCAGACCGTACTCGCTATAAGCGGCCTCACCAGGAGAAGTAGCTTCTGCGGTGCACCCAGTTGCCCACGAATTTGAGCGGAGAGGCCAAATCCAACGCACTGAAGCGCCTCAGTTCCAGCAGGTTCGGGTCCTGAAAGTCAACGGGAGTTAACAAGTCAAAGAGAGTCAACAAGAGTCAACGAGTCAAAAAGAGTTAACAAGAGTCAACTAGAAAATGTGGAGGTGAATCAAAGCCGCTGAAGCGCCTCAGTTCGAGCAGGTCCGGTTCCTGAGAATCAACGGGGGTCAACGGGAGTCAACTAGAGAAGGTGGAGGCATATTGGGATATGAATTTCAATGCAAGGCACTTAACCGCCTCAGCTCCAGCAGGTCCAGGTCCTGAGAGTCGACGAGAGTCATCGAGAGTCAACAAGAGTCAACAAGAGTCAACAAGAGAAGCAACAAATAGAAGATGCACAGGCTTGGGATCTCAATTTACATCCAAGGCGCTGAACCGCCTCAGCTCCAGCAGGTCCGGGTCCTGAGAGTCAATGTGGGTCAGCAAGGGTGCGTGAGGGTCAAATGTGCGAGTCAATGAGGGTCAATGCTGCTCAATGCGGATGAACGCGGGCTAATGCCGGTGATGCGGGACAACGCTGGTCAATGCGGGTCGATGCGGGTCGATGCGGGTCAATGCGAGTCAATGCGGGTCAATGCGGGTCAATGCGGGTCAATGCGGGTCAATGCGGGTCAATGCGGATCATGCTCAATCCCGGTCAATCGCGGTCAATGCCGGTCAATGCGGGTCAATGTCACGATGGAAGGGAGGGGGAATGTGGGCGGACAAAACGTTTGAGAGGAACCGGGGGAGGAGGTAAGAATGCGGAAGGCGGGAAGGAGAACTGGGGAAGGGGAAGGAGAACTGGGGAAGGGGAAGGAGAACTGGGGAAGGGGAAGGAGAACTGGGGAAGGGGAAGGAGAACTGGGGAAGGGGAAGGAGAACTGGGGAAGGGAAGGAGAACTGGGGAAGGGGAAGGAGAACTGGGGAAGGGAAGGAGAACTGGGGAAGGGGAAGGAGAACTGGGGAAGGGGAAGGAGAACTGGGGAAGGGGAAGGAGAACTGGGGAAGGGGAAGGAGAACTGGGGAAGGAGAAGGAGAACTGGGGAAGGGGAAGGAGAATTGGGGAAGGGGAAGGAGAATTGGGGAAGGGGAAGGAGAATTGGGGAAGGGGAAGGAGAGAAGGGAAAGGGAAAACAGACCAGGGAGGTGGAATTCGGAGGTGGCGCCTCGACAACAGAGCTGATGCCGAATGTTATTCAAATTCCAGCCCACGAATGAAAACGTCAGCTGCCCGCTACATCTGACCCGCTACAAGCATACCTCGCTAATAACAATCGCCATGGCTTCGAACCCCATGCACGTGGCTTGCACGGGGAAGTAGTCGCCTCGATCGTTCGCCTCCTTGGCCCACTGCACATGGAAAACGGTTGACGGACTTCAACGGTTATTCCAAAAGCATGATTCCAACGGTTATTGCTCTCATTCCTTTCCTTAATGACAAGATTAGCTGCAATCGAACGCCTTCAAGGTGCTACCAGGCTTGCAGAGACACTCGTGTGCAGCTATTAAGGAAACGCCTGATAAGATCGCATGCTGTACAGTAAGCAACGAAGCAGTTATGTCGCAAAATGGAAGTAATGTACCTGTAGAAGCAGTTGCACTGTAGACATGAAAGGCCCAGGCACCAAGTCGGTCCCTCCGCCGGGAATCAGCAGACCGTTGATCATATCGAATTCTGGTGACAGGGACGTTACAGACAACAGGAAAAACGGAAACAAACAGTCAAATACTGATCCGTTTCCCACTGAAGCATATCACGCAGACCTTACCGTCGACCCATTGAAATTTTCACGGAGAATTTACCGTCGACCATTAGAACACTTCATTAGAGAAAAACCGTCAATTTCCACCTTCCAGTCCCACCAAGTGGATAGACTCGGGCCTTGCGAGAGTAACACTGCGAAATAAGATTCGGAGAGTTCGCAAACGCACCTGACGAAGTACCTCCACCGGTTCGTCGTGCAGCAACGGAACGGGTCGTGCGCCCGCACTCTCCACCACTTGGCGTACGAAGCGGCGATGTACGACACGTTCGTGTCAACTGCCCTGTGTCGCCCGACTTCCGCCCCGCCGTACGATCCCTCATCGTACGGCGTATCAACCGCCTGGTTCAAGTTGAACCGTGGCGCTTTCCCGCCATCGCCGTCGCCCGGCTGCGAGAGAATGCCGATTAACGGCTTGTCGTTTATCGCAGGAGGTTTCGCCGACTCGAATTCCGCGTCGGCTTCTGTCGGCTCGTCAAATCTAACGGCTTTGGCTCTCCGGCCGGCAAGAATGTTGTTTTAGCGACTATGTCAGTAGCGGCGTGGGCAGAAAAATCACTTAGCGCGCTAGAACTCGAATAAATACCAAGATGTAGGATGCTTCGAGCATGGGAAGAGGAGATGAGGGAGAGAGGCAGGAGGGTCGCAACGAATATAGCTCCGGAGAGAAAGTGAGTTGTGAAGGCTGCGAGCATGATGCGATGCGACAGAGTCCCATGTCGGTTTGGCGCGACCGATAATTACCCACGGAACACGCCGTGCGCGATACTCGGCGCAATCTCCGGGACGCAACGTTCAGGTCCTCCGTAAAACTTCGTGACGGAAAGTTAACGAGACTGTGTGTAACGAAGATGGAATCGCGTTCGAGTTAAGGCCTGGCTGTGGACACGCTTTTCTTCTATGATGTCTGACGAGATGCGGTAGCGAGTCTGCTATTGTGGCGTTCGATATCGTCCGAGACAGCACGCGGTGCCTTGAAAGGACAGAATGTCGAGACGTGAGTATGCGAGGAAGTGTCACTTCTAGCAAATTGCTGGAGACTCGTAAGCAGGCTCGATTTTGCGCGACTGTGGAAATGTGGGGAGGGAACATTCGAGTGGGAGGGCTGACACTGCAGGCAATTGGAAATCCCGCAGGGCGACTGCAGTTTCAGCTCGTGTGTCGCAACTAGCTTGTGATACATCCTTTGTTGTGCTTCAAACAACTAGGAAGGCTTGCTGGTGAGTTTCCCACGAAGCATGCACCAGGAAGGAGAGGGAGGGATGGTGCAAGATATGCACGAAAATTGTCGCTGGTTTGAGTTGGCTGGATGACAAAACACGAATTTCACGAAAGACGGAGGTGGTGGGCGCAGCAGAGAGCGTGCGTGGCATTATATTTTTTCTCTCGACA